ATTAAAAAATTTCTCAACCTTATATTATGCGTCTCGATGAAATCGATATCCATTTAAAGTATAAAATTGCTGATCGAAAGAGTGGATTATACGAGCTTGCTATTCTTGAGAAAAGAGAGGACAAAACTTTTGCTAGACGGTATTTCTTAAAATCAGGTAAGCGGATCATTGGAAAATTCGGCGAAAAAAAAAAATTTCAAGGAAAAATTTATCGATGTATGATACTCCTTTTCTATCCTTTTTAATTCCAAATGATTTTAGATAATTTTTCTGTAAAATTAATGATAATTTTTAATAATATGTAGAAAAAAATATTCAATGATTCATATGAAATATTATTATTTAATTCATGATATTTCTTTATTTAAGTCCTTAAGACTAAGAATTACATTGTTATATAATGCATAACCGACAAGATAAGAAACTTTCAATAGTTTATAGTTTTTCTGATCCAACTCAATATATATACCATTATAAACTTGATAGTACTGCAATAATGTGGTGCAATAATGTCTTAATCACATTGTGTTTCAAGCGAATTTTTACTTTATTTTCCTCATCTGAAGTGCTGCAAAGACGCTCATAGATATGCCACCGATTTTTTTTTTAATGATAATGTCACAACAAATTATTTACTTGTCTTTTATTCACACATATACTTAAACTTGCATCGGCTTTGGCATTCTGGAGGGTTCGGATATCTGTGGTAGTTGAACACACTCAGCTAATGACCGTATCTAAAACGTAATAAACGTAAAAATAATAATTAAATTATGATTAAATTTAAATATATGAGAAAAAAAAATACACATACTACATATATGAAAATCTTTTGTGCTTCTTCTACAAACACACAAATAATTTTCAAAAGCTTTAAAAAGCCAATAGTGTATTGTTGTATGCTGTAAATTCTACTTACTTTTGGAACTCCCACTCTCGATTGTCAAGTGGACAAACTTGTCGAGTCTTCAACCAACGTGAGATGCAATGGAAATGGAATGCATGCTATGCGAAAAAAAAAATGTCAAAAAATTAAAATAAAAAGTTAAAATATCTTACTTGAGCAATTGACACTAATAATATGTATTAACTTAAATATGTATTAATAAAAAGCTATGATGATAAAAAAATCATACATTGCATACACCCCAAGCTACGGTACATTCTTCACTAGTGGCTGATGCTTGATTTGCTTGGCATTCAATACATAAATCCATTATATGATTACGGCAAATTGCGCAGTTATCTACTACAATATCTGTAAAATAACAAATTAAATAATTATTGATAAATCTTGTGAAAAAAAAAATGTATTAAAACAATCATGTTATAATTTACGATATATTATTTATATAATTAAATTCACGATTACATACCCCATGCCCAAAGAGCCACAGCATTCCACTGCAATATAAAATTAAGTATTTTTAATTAAATATTATGTATAAATCACATGAACATAATAATAAAAATGACAATGCAAAAATGAGGTTAGAATGTGAAGATCAACTTCTTAAAATTGAAAGAATTTATACGTGTTTTATAAAATATTTCTTTTAATTCTTTATCTCACCTTTTTTACTTCAAAACGTTTTTTTTCTCCTTTACTACTACTCGAAGTTGGTAAATCACTTTCTTCATCGTCAATTTCCATTGCCGACGCCATATTTAAATTTTGATATCTGAAGCCAACTGACACCTTGTGTAAGACATTCGAACTATGTAAGAAGAAAGATTAAGCGACGAGAAAAATGTAAATTTTTTTTATTAATAAACATTTTGTGCGCGTTATAAATCGTTATATCGTATATTTTTTAGTGTCTCGATTTTGTGTTGAAAAAATATTCAAGAATCAAAACATGTATTATAAGAAAAATATATAGTAGTGTTATTGTATCAATATTAGGTTATGTTTCGTGGAAAAAAATTGACACGGTATCGGTTATACTGAAAAAAATATGACAGTTAGTACCTTAATCATATAAACACTGGATAAAAGCATTTTAATTTTGCATCAGTGTAATTTCTAATCGTATTTTCATAATCCATACTATTGTATAAAATATATTGCACGATGAGGCGAAAGGCAGGCGTTGGTGCTATCCAAAAACAAAAGCTGGAGCAAGAAAAATACAAAGATAAGGGAACTGAGATTCAAGAAAATCAATTTGAGCAAATGACAAAACAGATGGAAACTTTTCGTGTGAATCTAGAGGAATTCGCAACAAAATATAAAAATGAAATTAAAAAAAATGCACGTTTTCGGCGGCAATTTACCGAAATGTGTGCATCGATAGGTGTAGATCCTTTAGCCTCAGGTAAAGGATTTTGGTCAGTTCTTGGAATAGGAGACTTTTATTACGAACTTGCTGTTCAAATTGTTGAAGTTTGTATGGCTACAAATTATAAAAATGGTGGATTAATATCATTGGATGAACTTAGAGCAAGATTAATTCAAGCTAGAGGCCGTAGGAAAGAACATCAAGAAATTACGAATGAAGACTTACTAGCTGCAGCTAAAAAATTAAAAATTTTTGGGAATGGATTTTCTATTGTTCCAATTGGAAGAGGCAAACATTTAGTTCAATCTGTACCTGGTGAACTCAGTATGGATCATACTGCCGTACTACAACAAGCTAGTTTATCTGGAAATGCATATGTTTCAAGATCCATGTTATGTAAGGAATTAAAATGGGAATCAGATAGGACACAGAAAGCTTTGGACCATATGGTAAAAGAAGGACTGGCATGGTTAGATGAACAAGGTGAAAATGAAACATTATATTGGTTTCCTAGTTTATTTACAGCTTGCATTGTATCCAAAGAGTAAGCAAAATATTGACTTTATAATGAATAGATAGACAGTGTTTTAAAAGAATAAGATATTTGCAGTATAAAATGTATTTTTAATGTGAATAAATTTACATATTCTTGTAACATATACACAGTTAAACATCCATTATAAATTTCTTGTAAGTAAAGAAAAATATTGTCATCTAATTTCATTTGGCTCATTAATTCTGGAAAAAAGATTATAGATTATAAATTATAGATAATTTAAAATATCTTATTATTACATCAATACAGTAAATATATACACCTTTGTATATCTTGAATTGCATGTTGTGCCAATTGTTGTTTGCAATTTAATAATTCTTTGTGTAATTCATTGTTTTCTTTTTGTAAAGTATTCATCTTTCCCCTTAGTTCCTTAGATTTTCCTTGAAATTTAACTGTCAAAGATTTTGCTTCATCTCTCCATCTAAAATATAAATTAATAAAAAGATATTTTCACTGATTATTTTTTATTCATTAAGTAAAAAATTTGCATACTTTTTACTTAGTTTTTGATGAATTTGAACGTGATTGATTAATTCCTTCGTTTTCCTGTCAAATTTTTCCTGCAGTTTATTCATATGATCTGATAATACAGATTGACAACAATGACATTTATTTTCTACTCTGTAATAAAAATGTTACATATAATATCATTTAATTTGTTATATTTATATAATACTTACGTTATATCAAAACTAGGCTTAGCTTTAATATTATATGGATTTATTTCATTAGCAATGTTATTTTTTAGATTATTTTCTCCTATACAAGTTGCTTTATGAAGATTAATTTCCAATTCCCGAATTTTATTTTCAAGAGAATATTTTTCACTATCTCTTTTTTGTATTTCATATTCAAAATCATGTTTCAATGATTTTAATTGTATTACAAGATTTTCCTTATCATCTAATGTTTTAGCTAACTGATTTTCTAAATCAGAATATTGTTTCATTTTATCCTTATTTTCACCATCAGTTTTTTTTATCTGGTCTTGTATATTAATAGTTTGTTGTTGCTCTAGTCTTTGTAATTTATCATTTGAACTGCCTAATTTATCTTCAAGAATAATAATTTTTTCTTTTAACTGTTTAATTTCCACATCATATTTGTTTTTAGCTATTGTTTCATCATATATTTGTAGTTGAAATTCCATACGTTTTGCTTTTTGTTCATACTCCAATATTTTCACACTAGAATCTCTACGTATTTTATTCAATTCTTCTTCAATAAATTTTAATTCTCTCTGAGCTTTTTCTGTTTCAATAGTTTTTGTCTTTAGTTCCGATTTAAGTTCATTAATCTCTGTTAGATATTTTTTTGTATTTTGTTCAATTTCATCTCTAGTAATTTTATTCAACTCTTGTATTTTTCCATCATATTCATTAGCTATTACATTTAGTCTATGTTCTAATCTAGTTTTCTCTTCCAATACAAGAGCTTCACGATGCGATATCATATCCTTTTCCCTAACTGCAGATTCTATTAATTCAATAGCTTCTGCCATCTTTTTTTTTGTTTCCTTGTCTCTTTCCATCACATTATCAGCATATATTTTAACTTCATTTAATTTTTTTTCCAATTCCAATTTTGTTTGTACTATTTTGTTGGTTTCTGTTTTAGCATAAGCTAAGTCTTGTTTCAATGTTTCTATTGTCAGTTGGTTATTCCTATCTTTTAAAAAATAAAAATAATATCTCTATTTGTTATAATGTATTATAAATATTAAATTTTACTGACCTTTATCTTGAGTATTCATTTGTAGGTTTTTATATTTTTCCAAAAGTTCATCTTTCTCTTTAGTCAAATTATTAATTTTTTCTTTACTTGTTTCATACAATGTTTGATATTTTATGAAATTATCTTTAGCCAGGGCTAGTTTTTCCTCCAACATTTTAATAGCTTCTGAATAACTTTCTTTAATAGCATTAGCTTGTTCTTGATAAAACTTTGTTCCTTTTCCATCTATATGAAGTCCTTTTAATTGGTCCTCTAAGGCACTTATGGTATTCAAGGAAATATGCCAAAGTTGCATAGCTGAATCTTTTTCTGATTCTAATAATACGATACGCTCTTGTAAATTTCCTATTTCTTTTTTATGTGCATCTTGATTATCGCATTCTTCAAAATGAATACGATTTAAAGATTCTTTTATATCATCTACTTTTTGGTTTTCATTTCGTAGAATTTCTAATTCAGCCCGTATATTATGCTGTTCTATCTAAAAATGAATATATAATAAATATATGTAATGTTTACGATATATAATTAATTTTATACCTTGCATAAATGCAAGTCTTGTTTAAGATTTTCCACAAGGACATGTTGTTCTTCGAGTAACATATATTGCTCTGAGCTATTGATAAAAAAAAGTTTATCAAATATATTTAACGTAAATAAAGTAGAGTATAGATATATAACCTTAAAGCTAACCTTCGTTTCTGAGCATCATCGTGTTCTGTCATCATCGTGCATTTTATCTTTACAACGACGGATTTTTTGTAATATTATGTCGTGCTAAGAAACATAATGGAAAATATAGTATCTGTTTAATTTATATTTACAATGTTTTGTGAGATATCTCAAGTAACATTATTCAGACATGACGCGTAAACATCAACATCACTTTTTACCGATAGTGCATAAATGCATGTGCATATTCAACAGGAAGATCGATAATACTACATAAAATTTTAATATCTTATTGTGTATTTAAAGCATTGTAATAAAATCATATATTGAAAGAGTGAATTTAAACGTTTAACGGTAAAATATTTTCCGTTGTAAAATATAAAACATCATATAAACAGATGATATAATACCGACTGACGATGATTCACATAGCAACAAATTGATCATTTACCAATAAATAAATGCTTCAAACAATCAATATTTATGTATAAAAAAAATAAAAATGTAACTACTGAGAAAAAATTAAGAATAAAAAGAATAGAAAAATATATTCATATTGGAAAAATAATTCATTCGTATTATTGCAAAAAAGCTTCGTTTTTAACGAGCGTCTTTATTAAATTGTTCATAAAAAGCTGCGGTTGCTTTATTTTTATAAAGTACGTAATTGAGATAATCCTGATGAGATTTTTGTTGCTCCGCTAATTCCAAATTCTCCCTTGCTATTTTCTTCTTAATTTCCCTGAAATATTAATAAAGATTTATCTCACATTTCACCACGCATGAAAACAAAAGTTTTTACGCTTTCTTCCGATCAATTTCACGTTGGTACGAATCTGCGATCTCGGCTTGGGTATTCATCAATCGATCCCACTCTTCGTCTCTTCGTTTCTCCTCTATTTTCATTTCCTGGAAAAAGAAGTTTTCCTTGAGCGAGCCAAATTTTTTTGTATCCCTGACCGTGCTCTCGCACGGCCATGACAACGATTGGCACCATTTCAACCATCTGCGGTGCATCGTTAAAACCGTGTAAAACAACCGTTCCATCATTCGTCATTTACCTGGATTTCTTTCAGTTGGCGTGCTTGAGCCTCCCTGAAAACCTTAAGCTCGTCCGCAGTCATGCCCTTGTAACGCGAGGCCAACGGTTTGTGCGGTCCATGAATGCTCTCCGCCTGCTCTTTGGCTTCCGTAAGGAAGTCCCCAGTCACGTGATTGTAGATATCCGCCTTCTTCTCCTCCTCCTCTTGAAGGGCTTCGCAGCGGCGACGGTATTCCTGTTCCTCTGCCTATCGTTGGAAGGGGAAAAACGGAGCCGGTCATTCGACTAAAACGTACGTCCAACGGAGCGTGACAACTCGAAAAGAAAAAAAAAAAGTCAAGGACGGGAACGCGTGGAAAGAGATGGGGAAGCGACTGGATGATCGTTCGCCGTATTATTACCGAGACTCGTGAGTCGATGACGTCACCAAGTTTGCTCATCGACCGTATAGCAGCCTCGCCATCGCTGTAAACGGCGCTCACCTTCGGCGAAGGTTTATGTTAACTGTGTGTGGATCGTGTTCAGGACGCGTTAAGCGGCCGAGTAACAATGATTCGCTCATCGGTACGGTGACACGAGGGCGAATATCATCAGCGACCAGAACAGAACACTCGTATCAAGAATAACGAGATTTTGCTTGCGTTGAACTTTGACATTTCACGGTTCAACGTCATTGGCTCGTTCGTGACAAGAGGCTTACGAGAGGGAGATTTTAAATCAATTAATGCGATGGAGAGTCATCAAGCGTTAATTATCTGAATTTTCACTTTCTCGTCGTACATCGATACCAACACGCAAACAACTAGAAGCCAGAACGAGGTTTGTGCTCGATCTCTATCCGTGTGAAAAGATTCGATTTTCCTTCATGCATGGAATTGTCAGATAATGAGATTCTTATCTTTTTCTTGCAGTTTCCGAAACATGCAGTTCCCGGATGTTTGATCAAAGGACTATATGGAAGAAAGCCTTACCATGGCTTGATTAAATCGTGCGGTAGCTTCGTTTAACTTTCGACGACAGTCTTCTTCCATCTGAGCTATCTTCATGGCACGCTTGTCTCTGGAGAGGATGGCTGCTTCCTGAGCTTTGTCGAATTCATCCTGTTCGCTCTTGGCGGACAGATGTTCCTGCATTTGTTCTCGATCCACCACCTCATCTCTTCTTTCTTTGCCTTCAACTTTTCCTTTAAGTCATCCTCTTCGCCTTTTAATCTATATGGTTTTTAGAAAATTAAATATTTTAACGAAATTAAAATCGGAGAGAAATGGAATCAAAATGATAACAATAATTACAGCTCGCTGAAAGATAGATCGCGATCGTCTTTTTTCGGCAGATCGCATTCCTGGCGTAATTGATATTGCTGCCTATAATGCTCGATCTCTTTGTGGATCTTTCGCCTTTCCTGGAATATCAATCATCGATAAAACGTATAATCCTAGTTTCGCTAAGAAAGAAGAAAAGAACGAACAAAAGTAAAACGGATGAAAGTAAGAATCTTTAATTTTGCTAACGATGTTGCAAAAGACGATTAATCATGATCGTTTCCACCAATAATTAATACAATTTACCTCTTCTTGTTGTTTCTCCAACAGCAAACCGATCCTACAACTTTGAAGCAAAATGTTGTCGAGTTCGGATTCTCGGGCTTCTTCCAGTTCACGTTGCTGCTTCTTTTCCTCGACCTGTTTGTCCAAGAATTCCTTGTCTATCTGCGGACAGCACGTTATAAAAAAATTGTTATCGGACGTTTCTCGATAATGAATCACAATACTTATCGTTGTTTCGCGTGCGGATTCTTTTTTATCGTTTCACACGAATGCATTCACACGAATCGATCGTACAACACGCTAACAGATCTACCGATGTCACGAATGAAACACTTTGCCCCATGAGACTTACCCCAATTTTCCTGAATCGTGCATTGAAAATCCGTTCCTTTCTTTCCGCCTCGATCTGCCGCCTGCGCTGAACGGCTGCGGCCAGTTTCAACTCCTCTTTGGTCGCGGTTTGAAACTTCAGCATCGTGCCAAAATTTGATCTACGCGAGGACGAACGTAACCAGAGCCCGAGTGTGAGCTTAGCCACGAAAGCCGCAAGAATCACGTGGAATTCGTTACCATGGAGCGTTTGGACGATAAACGCGTTACTGCCTCGTCGCAAAATTTAACACGATCCCTTTCTCATCGAAATAGAACTCGAGAATTTTATCGATCGAGAAGAATTTTTTTTTTTTTTTTTGGCAATTACTTATCCATTTATCTAAATCGATCAATCAATAAGATTAATCGTATTTAATCGAGTTCGAATTCAAGATGATGACAGGCATTTAATTGGCACACATTCGGCCGCTAATTGTTCGATCGAATTGTTAAAGATATTTGCATGAAAGAGTCACGTGAAGAACAGCTGTTGAAAGCGTAAACATGTGTCGTGCTATCTGTTGATTCGGCGAAAGTCATTACGAATGATTCGTGATTTTGCGTATTATCATGGTTCTGTATACGTGTGTATCGATCGATGTAAAGCTCGTAACATACTAGATAACCGTAAGCAATTGCTGCGCGGTTCAGAGAGGGAATAAAAGAACGAATTTAGCCGCCATTCCTTTTATTTCTTTGTGAGGACGTTCGTTTCGCACGACACGATGACTCAGTGACGAGTCGCTTCGTTTTCTTTAACAATGAGAACTCGGTAACGAGAACACGAGTCGAATATATGCATTACACTTGAGAATCGGTGTCGAACATATGGAGAGGAGATCGTCGTTTATTAAATATTCTTGACTCGAGCCGTTTTACGCAAATCGCAAGAAGCTCGAATAAATCGTTGTGAAAGGCAAAGCCTCTTTACTGCTTCCACCTGAATACGATGAAAAGAATATTACGTTGACCGTATGCGGTGAGCATAGATTTTTAAGGAAGTAATCGTTTTATCGATTATCGAGGGTAATTTGCGTCTTCCTATTTCACCGAACATTACGCTATTAATATTCCCGGAAAATGAAAAAAGAAAGGCGATAAACTCGGAGAGATTTCATTATTCTTTAACCGCGAAGACGTAATAGCCGTTGGAAAAACCGAATTATTTATTATTAGTAATAGGCTTATTTCCCTGCTAATTGTTTCTCTATTCGCGATGAATTCTGGTGTTAAGCGTTCCGCTCGACTGCTCGAGCGATTGATATTCTTTTATGCGTCATCGAGCGACAAGCAACACAGTTTTCAAACAATGCAAATCGCCATCGTTACGAGTTTTTCGCTCTTGTCAGAGCGTATTAAAACGAGCTGCATTCACGAATAATGATTCTAATTGTTCGTCTAATGGGGAAACACGTGCCTTCGGGTGACCTATATCCGGAATATCGAGCCATATGGTAGTAGATTACCAGTATAGATCATAAAAAAGAGATTACGCGAACAAAGTATCTGTCTATGAGATAACACGATACCAAAAATATACGGTAATACTGGATAAACCAATCGTGAAATTCAATTTTGTATCTATGGAAAGAGGGGAAGATATTTGATTAAATTGACTTGTTCTCGTCGATCCAATCTTATGATACAAAAGCTCTTAATGAAACATCTACGAGTTTTGTTTGAATAATCGTTAAATTGAAAATAAATTTGTACTTCCTTGTTTTTCTTTTCAATAATATTGTATATATATATATAAATAATTGATATTAATTTATGTGGATTTAATGATCATTTGATTTTGAGTGTTGTGCGTCATAAATAAATTTTTTTTTTAGAGTTAAGAGATTAAGAAACTGGCCTTTTGCGTCTTAAAATAAATTCTTAAAATTCGCATTGAATTTTTCATTAAAACAATCGAAGAACTTTAACCTCCTCAAGAGTTTATTAATTCGTCAGAAAAAGATAATTATTTTTTACTACTTCAATTGTATATTTTGACGGATATTAAACGAAGCAGATAATATTAAAATATATTTTGAAAAGCTTGAGAAAAATATACACATATGTATTCATTACATTTTTTTGTATCTTATGAAAAACATACATGAATCAAACGAAAACGTATATACATATATACGCCATTATTTCTCAAATAAAAATCAAATAAAAAAAAAGAAACCTACGTTTGATGGTTTGAAAAGAAAAAAATTTCTCTCTTTTAAAAAGTATTATAAACGATTTATAAATAAAAAATAAAAACGTCTACTCACAACATTCGTAAATTCATCAGTCGGAATCATTACATCGGAAAAGAAAAGAAGAAAATAAAATTAATGAAATCAGCGATTCGTTTTAATCTATCGTCGTATCATTCGTTTCTGTAGAGAAGAAATAAGAGGAAAAAAATAATTGCAAAATTGAGCGCAGTATTTAAGAGGAATCAACGCGGAGATTCGCGGAAAAACGCGGTTCAGGTTTTCGCGGTATCCCACACAACCGACCCAGAGAGAAGATGCCCCGAAGCAAGCGAGACTCGACGGCGCCTGCGTGACCATGTGACGCCATTGGCGAACCGGGTAGCTCGTCCGCTAGACATTCAGTCTCGCCTCAGCATCGAACGAGGTTGTGTGTGTTTACGGCGCATATTGCTCGGCAAACCAATATCACGGAAGTAGTCGAAGCCTGAGTTAACTGACGGTTAACGTATTCGAACGTGTAAAAATACGGGATCACGTGACATCCAACGAGTCTTAACGAGAGTTTTATCTCGAAGCTGAGTGCACGAGTTACATTTTCCACGTCGTTCGACTGGAACGGATCGGTCGAAATCGATCGAAACATCGTCAAAGGACGAAAGGTGTGAAACGAGTCCAACGAGATAAAAAGGAAAGAAGAGATCGAAGAGAGAAATAAAAGGGATCGCCGCGAAACTTGTTCCCTCTACCGAGAACTATCGTTTGAACGGACAATTAACACGCGATACACGCGCGTTCCTTCTTTATTTTTTCCTACGTTCACGGAATCAGTCTGTCGTCTGACGATAATCCTCGCGTCCCCTCGTACCGTTCCAATTAACGTTCCAGTGATAAACACGTGTCTCCGGGAGTGTACGAAACGGCAAGAAAGGACGACTAGACAAGCAAATTTGTTCGTTCATGTCTCAGACGATGCCCTTGTCGTTCGACAAGTGACAAGCTCTAAGGGAACATACACGTATACACGTATATATATACATATACATATACATATACATATACATACACGCCACGTATCGGTATATTGGGCTCCGTGAGCATCGCGGAGAGAGTACATGCAACGATCAGGTGCGTTATCGCGTGTGTCGCTTGATCGTTTCTCTTACTATGCACACTGAGAGGTACCCGATTACTATGAGAGAATGAGCTGCACGGTGAAGATTTCGTGTGGGAAGAACTGGAGCGGATCGCAGCGAAGGATCAACTCCCTCGCGGAGGAAACGACGTGTCCTACGGGTGGAAGTGCGAGCTGCGCCGGCCTAGCGGGCCAACCGACAGCCGTAGTGTCGACCACAGCCACCACGTCTACGTCGACCATTACCAACACCGTCAATCCGAGCACGCTGACCACCAGTAGCCAGAGGCTCGCGCCGTCGCGTCCTGTCAAGTCGATCACCGCTAAAAAAGGGGAGGATACCACGAAACTGCTCAAGTACATCGACGATAACGTCATCGGCAAGAACGGCACGTTCTTCGGACCATTCGGCCGCAGGAAAGGTCAGTGATCAATATAGTCTTTACCCGTACCGCTCCCTCCCTTCAGCCAGCCCTGCTGCCCCTTGCCCCCTCCCCACCAAACCATCAAACTCTCTCTCTCTCTTTCTATCCTTTCGCGACTTTCTCGGTTCTCTCGGTTTCTCTCTTTCTCCCTCCTCCCATGACACGCATCGAATCCACTGTACAAAGAGGCGCGTCTAGCTCGATCCAGGGACTCCTCTCGTTAAGATCGTCGACATCGTTCGATTAACGCAAATACGTTTACGAGCTGTGTGTATCGTATCAATAAAATCGAAGCTTCTCGCAGCTTCGACATAATTCCGACCGTTCACGAGGGTGTCGCTCTCGAACGACTTCCTCTCCGCTTCGTCTCTCTCAAACTTCTCGAGTCTTAAGGGCTTTAGAGTCTGGGTCGTTACACCTAAAATAGCGCGTATATATATATGTACATGCGTTTCGTCGATTCGGGAACAGGATGAGTCTCCCGGTTTTTTCTCGAGCAGGTGCTTCTGCCCCGAAGTCTGTTTCGCTATGCGCTTGGTCTGCTATGAGGGGGATACCTTACGAGTGCACTTGGCATATACCTTTCGTAACACGATACTTCGGGAAGAGCTGCGCGCGGAAACCTCTAGCATGTGCTGCGAGCATGTATCTCCAATTAGGAACATAAGAGCGCGTTGTGGTGCGGTTTGCGGCACCTCTGATCGATATCGCGAGAAAGATCAACTCGGTTTTATCCTCGTGTCGTATCTCTATTGTTGTTAACACGGTCGCGTGTGTGGCGCGTGAAGTCTTTTAAAAGAGATACAATTTCCAGGATTCTTCCTTTTTAAATTATTCCGTTTCTCGTGGAAACAAGGAAACAGAGACAAACGTAAGGACGAGAAGAGACGAGCGTGGACACGAATGAACGAGAACCAGGCTCGATCGCGTACGACGCTTGCATAATTAATTCCCTTCAAGTATTTTGCTTTCGTGCGTTGGAGAGAGGGGGCGGGCAACATAACCGCTCGCTCGTCAACGTAAACACTCGGCCACGGGAACTCGTACACCAACTGTGTTAAATATTCAAAGGCAGAAATGTTTGCGCGTCGTATTATTTTCGGTGTCGTTGGCCCTGCGGCCGCGAAGGCCACCCATTTCTTTGGCCTCCATTAAAATTGTCGAGATCCTCTCCTTTCAGTCCGAATCCTCGTCCTGATCTATCCGAATATTGTGGAAAGGCTCCAGTCTAGCGAGACGGAAATCGGCTTCTCTTGCCTTTTTCTTCCGGGCGGCTTCGTAACAATCATGGCGACCAAGTCGTGCTTAGCCGTTTTGATCGAGTCAGCTATATAGTTAGACCCTAAAGCGTAACTCGGGTGTGTCCATCGCATTAGAGAAAAGGAGGGAGAGAAGGAAAAGAGAGAAGGTTCGTCGATGTTCCGGGATCTCGTGCTCACACGCTTCCTGATCGCCGCCCACGGAGGGCCACGTGCGGCGCAAATAAATTGCCAAGCATCGACCATTTTAAACGATTCGCCATTAGATCGTGCCTCGCGTACAACTCGTATATACCCGATCTAATTTTCCTAGCGAAGCATCTTACCGGCTGTCTCTCTAATAATTCTTCGAGTATATACCGACCGATCCGTGTAAACAGTAGATAAACGACCATGTTGCAATTGGCGAGAAAATTGCTGACACGTTCGAGATTCTTCTTTTCGCTCACGAGACTTGCGCGACTAGTTGCGTTGAGTAATTTTTTTTTTTTTCCTCCTTTTTTTCTTGTTGAATAACGAACTCGTTAGAAGTTCCAAGAAATCGAATTACCGACTTATTACGAAGATTGATCATCTTTTCATTTAAGCAGTAAGCAAAATATGAGATATTACATGAAGGAGTTTTTATTGATCATCATATCCTGAAATATTTTTTTTCTTCTTTTTTTTTGGAAATTATATTTAAATTATATTTATTTAAATTTTCTTGGATATCGTGTCCTGAAATATTTTTTTCCTTCTTTTTTTTTTTTTGGAAATTATATTTATTTGATATATGCATTTGCAATTAACGATATTTACGCGAATAATAATAACGGGTATACAAAATCCAAATCGAGAGTACGTTTAGCTCTTGTTTCAAATCTATTTAGTACAATTATGAAAAATAGAAAATATCTAAAAATACTGCAGAAATACACGACCGATTCTTATTCGAGACGTTTAAAGATCAAATTAGGAACTCGTGGTATCCAAGAAAATTGACATCTAACGCAGGTTAATGACGCTTATTCGCGTCTTGATACAAAAATACTAATAGATCGTGTAATCTATCGAACAATTATCGTCATCTTTGCGCAAACGTGCTCGTCACCGATCGCGGATATCGGCCAAAATCAATCGGGTTAATCCCGTTCGAATAAGTGGCATTATTAACGCTTAATAGCCGGGGAGCGTGGACGAGGCGCGTGATTCACGAAAAAACATGTCGGACGAACGGTCGAAAAACAAGTTTCTCGAGTCGACGGATGGGCCAGATGAGTGGCGATCGCCCAATCTGCCGATGCACCGATTTGTCACGAGAACCGGCGATGCGGCAAGGTTGTACGTTTCATCCATCATGATATAACATTGTACATCGTATATTATTATATCGATGTACTTATTATATACATTTTATACACAGCGTTATAAGTTGTATATCGGCGTGTCTCGAGTAGCGAAATATAAACGTATATAAGGGAGGATCGAAACATCGTTCCAGCCAGGCCGACGAGGATAGATGGAAAGTCGTAATGGCGAACTCGACGTGAGTCACACGTCGCACGAGCGAGGAACGATAGCCGCGAATGCAAGAATACGATAAGAGGCGGCGAGTTTACTACGCGTGAGTAGCGTTATCGAAGTGGACACAGTCAAGGACACACAGTCGTCGATGAGCACCTCGAAAGAAAATGAAAACGAAAGTCCGCTTTTGCCGCATCATCGATGTCGTCATCGCGCGGATATAGCCACGTGTGGATAGTTTCGTCAAGTGCAAGGTCAACCGGTGAGATGCATCGCGAATTTCTTCTCTATTATCCCCTATCCGTGTTTTTCTTACTATAAAATCACGTTGATTTACGTCGAGAATAAAATTTTCGCCTCGCGAGATAAAGATAGTCGTATTCGACACGAATCGTTCCATGTCCTAATTCGCAATTCGTAGTTTACTCGCGCGAACGAATATTTGTTTATGTTTTTTGGCAGTTTGTTAGACTTGGTATCGGCCGGGAATGTTGGCAGATAAGATAATCGTCGGAACAAATTTCCACGTTGCTCTTATTCGCGTTCTAAAATTTCCACTAGTTTCTCTTCTGTCGCGTTTATCTGTCGAGGAAATGTATAGATATAAAGTAGGAACACTGGATCGATCGTTGGCCGTGTGGAAACGTTCGTAAAAGCGTGACCCAGTTCGTTATGCGTACTGACACCTTGTTGACCTAATTCCAGCCCTTCCGAGGCTGTGTAATAGCGGAGCAACGCCCACGAGCGCCCCTCAACGTGCGCCGTGCGACTTTCCATCGAGATCTTCGTTTGACGAACGTTCCTCTTCCACCGTTTTATCCAACGGAAATCGACCTCGGATGATATCAGAGACAGCCAATCGGCGAGCATCGCTTCATTTTCAATGCAGTTTCGCGTGAACGTAATAAAAGCGGGGAGGGCATAAGGACGGGCATTGTATTAGAAAACAACGGCTTGTATTCATCGTAATTTCGCTTGAACGGATTTGCCTTCTCTTCTGCCTGCTTCCTCTCTCTCTCTCTCTCTTTCTCTCCCTCCCTGCCTTCCCTATTTTTCTTTCCCTCGTACTCGCGTTCAATCCACTCACGAGTCACCAATTTGAAATTCCGCATAGATCGTTCGCGGTTACTTCCGTTGAATAACAATCCCAATCCCCGAGTAATTACGCGACGAATAATACGAGCGATCTATCGATGGAAAATTCACGGATTCATAGATTCTCTCTAATGCCGCGTTGCTTTTTTTTTTTCTTTTATCGTTGGGTTGTTTTGCTCGCCAGCCACGGTGAAAGCGCACGGGTGGAATCAGATAAAACGAGCGGATATTTGCCCGAGATAGAGCATCGAAATCTGTCCGTCCTCTTCCGTCTGACTGTGCCGTTAATCGAGCGGGTTGATTCTACTGGCGGGCATCGCCGCGTTACACGCCGATGAATCTCTAGTATCCGCGGAGTTAATCGCGCAGAGCTGAAAGTCCAACACGGCCGGTGTCGTTGAAAAGTCGCGGGAGCGTGTGGTGGTATCTCGTTCACGCGCCTCCACGATGCCTCCGCTCGCGTGTACGTGTACACGTTCAGAATTCGACTCCGGTTCGAGTCGAAGGAACGGAGAAATCGCGCGATCCCAGATATCACTGTGTTGTCACCGTTTTTTTTTTATATGGAATCATGAGATACTCGTATTTTTTTCTTTATTTCTTGTTTTTAGTTCTTTGTTTTCTTTCCTTCTCGCTTCATTATTTGCTTCCATTTTATTATTATTGGTATTATTTTTTTCTTCTCTCTTCGTTTTTCTGTTTTCCTTATATTTTCTCGAAAAGATAGAGAAGATCTGCGGCTGGAAAGTCGATCCACGACCTCGATTTTATAATATAACGCGTATCGGTGGTGTAGAATTTTAAAGACACGCGTCGAATTTTGCCGAGTTGCGTTTCGCAGGTCGAACGTATTATATACGTTCTACGCCGTGAAAAAAAACGAGAGAGAGAGAGAGAGAGAGAGAGAGAGAGAGAGAGAGAGAGAGAGAGAGAAGAAGAGTAGTAGTACGTATACGTAGTAGTGTACG